TTTGTCCTATGACGTCAAATAGAACCAGAGAGAGTGTATGAAACTATAGTATCAAAACTAAGGTGAATGATACATATTTCTTTGTAAATAAGGTACATGTATAGAATCAAATGTCTTTTGATGATATGATGTACGCTTATTTGGATTACTGTTTTTGCTAAGTAAAACTACGTAAATGCTAAGTTAATTTTTGTTAATTAGCTAAGTTAATTCCTAGTTTAGCAAGCTATATTTTTGTGTGACTGGAGGCGGTGAGGGACGGGGTGCGTGGAAAGCATGAGAGTGAGCGACTAAACCACATTTCTGCTTGTTTTTCTCAAAAAATATAATTATTTTTAATAAATTACTTAGAAAGAAGCAAACTTTTTACTTAGCATTTAATCCAACTATTTAGTATTTAAATGAGAGCCATTTTTAAACGTGATAAAGTTTAGAACAATTGTTTTTCTTTTTTGATCAAAACTGAGCCTAAATTTATTGTAAAGTGGTTGCTACCTTAAAAATGGTAAAATAACGCAAAAACAGAATGTTTCGATAGCAAATTTGGGAAAATTCATAGACAAAATGAGTTGAAAACTGGAAGTCAAATTCCGTGCTCGTAGTTATTAACGATAGAAACTCATTTACTTTTATTTATACCTTGGCTTGGCTTTCTTTGTATTTCAAAACAGAGAAATAGGCACTCTAAAAAAGAAAATTCGACTTATAGTAAGATACTAAGTCGGATCCCATTTAGCCGTATAAATGGGTCTATTTTGAAGACATCTGATGTGACTTACCTAGGAAGACGCATTGTACCGTCTTTTTAGAAGGCACATCATAGACACTAGAAAGACACTGTGAAGACGTATAGGAGACGCTTTTTATATGAAAGACAGGTAAAAGGCGCTTTCTGTAGATACTCCGATGATGTCCCTTGTTTTCTTAGAGTGTGTGTAGTGCATTTAGACCGAGATTTGTAACTTTTAACAGCATTTTCTCCTCGTTTTCTTCTCAATAAACATTACCATTGTTTGCCCAAGAGAACTCTTCATGTAAACCGTCGCAATGATCAAAATTTTTTGACTCTAAATAGAATGATAGAATCAAGAATATCTTAGTTTCCATTTTCTGTTTATTTCTGCTGTAGCTTAAGATGCATTACTTTTCGTTGTATACTTAACATAGACGAGAGAGAGTTCAATGTAGATATGGTAAAACCTTACATCTAGAATGGAAGGTTGCATATTTACCCACGCATTTAAAAAAGATCGTGAAGTGGGTGCTTGCAGCTGTCCTAACCTAATTTTTAACTCACCAAAGCTAGCTAATTTGTCTGAATTGTGCGCTAATCGCTCAATTAAGCGCCCACTGGATCATCCACTTGGAGCTAATAAGTGGACATTTGCTCGACGCAGCTATTTTACCCCAAAATCTACTCTGAAGTGGATGCTTAAGTTATTTTATAAGCTAGATTTCCTTGCTTACTCTTTTTTTCCTCGATAGTTAAGATCGGATTTGCAATGATCTATTTATTATAATTATTTTTATGACAGAGAAAAACTGATAGAAACTTTTTGCAACTTATGAAAACTATCCAAACTTTTACGGACTATACATTATTGATTATTTCTTCGTTCATAACATACCATACACTTTATCTCACAGACAACGAGAAATTACTTTAAAGGCTGAAATATATATATGTCAATCGCAATATATATTTCAAACAATCGCAATTCTATAAACAACTAGTACCTCTGAGCCTCATGCACTTTCATTTAGTATACTGTAAGTTTCATGATATTTCGAATGTAAATCATTATTTTCTCATTATTTTCCTCTTGATCGATCGAGACCTTCGTCGATTACTTTGTGGATCTCACAATCGACGAAAGTATCAATAGCGTTATCGATTAGGGGGTGGCAAACCACCCTCGTTCGGATACAATTACTCAAAAAATTTTGACTTACTCAAATTTTTTAAGAAATTTGTACCTGAGTAAGTGATTTTCTCTAGCTTCTGAGTAACTCAGAAAAAACTTTTAGTCAAAGAAAGTTACTCAATAAAAAGCTTTAGTTACTCAGCAGGCTCGCCACCCCCACCAAAACTACTATCAAAAACACGGGGTATCAATTATACCTGTTGCTCTAAATCAACGTCTTTTTTTTACCGACTCAGGAAGAACTTCCTGCTTAATTTCCTCCCACTCTTCTTTAGAAAAATATGGGTCTACTTTGTTTGTTCCTACGACATATAAAATTATATAATTTATCGAAACATTGTATATATGATATGTGAGCACTATCTTCATGTGCCTACTATTTCTAAATATTTTATGGTTTTTACACTATTAAATTTTTCAATTGATATAATATTATACCTATTGAGACAATACAAAAATGAATCCATGAATTTTTTTTTGACTTATAAATTAACTTGTTTTTCCAATTCATTTACTCACATGCATATTCATAATTGTTCGTGCAGACTCTTTATGATCTTTATTCATTGTTTTATCTATATTTGACGTTTGAAATCTGACACAACAACTATTGAGATGGAAGAATTAAAACGGAACATATAAAACAATATACAAACTTGTCATTAGTTTATATGAATATATGTTTGAAGATAGTTCTCAAGATTACCAAGATGTTGTACGATTTTTTTACATATTAAGAAACAATCTAACAATTTTCTTCAAAATAAAAAATCAGAAATATCAAGGTATAGCGTAAACTTTTTGAATCTGTATTGCTGCCTCCCCCTCCCCCCTCCCCCCCCCAACGAGTAGACGATTTAGACTTTCGAAAGGAGTTATTCAGAATCTCTCAAAAAATTGATGAAAATAAAGACTACTGCCTATTTCGGTATCTACTCAATTTTATATATGGATATTTGTAGAGTAGAGTTCGTGCATTTCAAAAAAAACAACAACAGAGACAACACAGTTCTGACCGACTTTGCATTAGAAAGTTACATACGTTTTCTTCTAACCATAAATGTCAACAGTACTTTTTCTTATATCATTTTTTGTAATATTGTTACTCGATTCGGTATCGTTTTCTTAATATAATCAGAAACTTTTTTTTTCTTTAAAGAAACGGACTTCTACCTATAAAAGATCATAGTCGTGTTTAGAAACTTTTTGTTTCTTTAAAAACAGGAAACCTTTGATTAATGAAAAATAGAATCATTTTTTTGGATATTTTCATTTTTAAAAATAATGATGATAAATTTGAAAAAAAGAATATGACCTTTTGCAGTGAAAAGGCACTACTATCATTTAATATGGCTCATCTAACTAACATGGCTAATACCTGACGCTAGAGAAATGGTAACGGTGTTTTTAAATCTATTTTATCTCTTATAATCTTTATCATTTTATATGAACGCGTTGATCTGAAACTTCAGATAATGGTCTGACCATATGAATACCTTTGATTATTGATAGTTTGACTCGAATCGAATATATAAAATGAGAGGAAAAACGCTTTGCACGATGATGGTGGGAAAAAGGTGAAATCTTAATTAATTGAGTTCACAGCTTGTAATCACAAATTATTAAATATGTGTTCTAATGAAAAACTCTTAATGACTTGATATTCATATCTCATAGATAACGGAATATCTTCGGGATTCTGTCTAGTTCGGCAGTTATAATTGATCCAATGTCTGATGTTAAAATAGCAAGTACTTCGTTTTTTGTTGAAAGATTTAATTCATCTAGATAGAGACAAGAAATAATAAAGCAACAATTTAAGAAATCATATGTAAAAATAAATATCACACTGTAAAATTGCATGTTATGCTATATTGATACACGTTTGCCAGTAAAAATGCGAAGAAATATAACATAAAATACGCATTTTCACAACATGAACGTTGTTTTTTTTTGTTTTACCGGTGAGACGAAGTGTATACTATATTTAACGAAATGCTACAAAATAGCACATAGGATAAACGATTAATTTGATCTAATTTTTTCCTTTTATTTATGTTTAGTTGATCACGAACATCATATTGAACGTGAAAATACTCGTTTAAGTGACGATTTTCATCTAGACGAATATAAAGATCAACAAGAAAATTTTAAAAACGACGACGAAGATAACGACGAAATGATGGCCGATGATAAATCAATGGATAAAGCAGCAACAACAATTCAAGCAACTTATCGTGGTTATAAAATACGAAAAGAATTGGTTACAGGTGAAAAACCAGGCAGTGAACAACAAAAAGAGGGTGGACAACAAGAATACGAACAAGAAAGAAATAAAAATAGTAAATTAATATTTATATTTTAGACTAGATTCAATATCTTTATCTATATTCTTTTAGTTTTGTCACCATCTGCTGAAGGAAATAAACTTCAAACAGGCGAGGATGCTGCAGCTGCTGTCGTTATACAGGTAATTAGATTAATATCAACCGTGTTGAATACAATTAATTTTCCTGTTTTTTTTTATTTTAAAAATTTTTAGGCTGCCTATCGAGGTTATCGTGTACGAAAAGATCTTGATAAATAAATTTAAAAACAATTTTTTTAACTTGAAAATTCCACTGTCAATATAAGAAAGACAAAGTCTTTTATTGGTTTCATTTCTCTCTTTGACATTTTTTTTTTTCATGATCTATCTTACATTGTAGAAAGAAACAATTTTAAATGTGCGTGTTTGTTTGTTAATCTATTTTTTTACTGAATGAATGATTTCATCTGAATTCTTACGATGGTTTTTTTGTTTTCTTTCATTAATTGAACATTTTGTATTACTCTTTCACTGTCAAGAAGTTTTTCTAAGGTATACACTTAATCCCATATTTGTATCATTTTATTACTATAACCCAAACTAATTTGTAATTTAATACAATAAACAGCGATTAAGCAGTGCCTGAATTTATTTTAATTTAGTTATAGGAATATTACACAAGCTAGAAAAGTATTTCTTTGTTGAACTGACTCTTGAACATTATAACTTTGGTTCGATATATTGTTGGAAGGAACCTCCCTCCATAGGGCAATCCCTCCTCCCTCTTCTTTCACCGTTGTGGCAAATATTAAAGTGAAGGTCTGATTAAGCTCGAATTCTTACTAGAGAAAGAACAACGAAAAAGAAAATCGATGTATTTTTGCTCAAATTTCTCTGGCAAAGTGTCTGGCATGGTTTTTTAGAGACATAATTTTTAACTTGATTGCATTACTTGTCTTTTCTACGATTCATTCAGTTTAGCGTTTCTGTGGTTTTTCTCGATAGTATTAGTTTCACACTTGATTTCAATTTAACGAATCGTTTAGTGTTTTTGTTGTTCTTCTTCTTTTGTGAAGGTTTCGTATTTCTATTATTCATATTTGCTATTAAATTTTTAATGTTCTTTTCTTTATTTTTATAACAAAATTTCTACGTTGTATTGTTTCTAACGCTTAACAACCGACATTATTTTCGTTGTTCAAAACGTTAGCTATTGGCTATATGTTTGAACGAGAATAGTTCTTCACTCTATACTCTTCATCATGTTCATTAGACTATGCGTATGTCCAGAAGAAAGTTTTCACATCTTTGTCTCCTAGAGTAACGCTGACAAGGTTTCCCCGATGAATCTACTGCAGAAAAAAAAAGTATTTTTCGACAGTTCATGCCAAATTTTCTGAAAAAAGTAAGTACGCTGAAATGTTTCGCTACCAAAAATGTTCGCCACATCTTAAACTGTGTCATTAAGCTGTTTTCCTCTCTTCCGACCTCAGAAAACCTGTTTGACCCCTAATGAGAAACGTTGTCACTAGGTAAAAAAAAATTTTCTTGAGACTTATCTTATTCGATGCTACACACTAAAATAGGTATACGAGACATTTTTTCAGCATTATAAACCTTTTACCCACTGAGAAAATGAAAATTTTCCAAAACTACCATCGTTTTTTCTCGAAAATTTATTAAGATTAGTATTTTACATATAAACCCCCAATTTCCGTTCAATTTTTTGGGACAACATCTCAACAAAATGATATATTTTTCAAATTTAATTTCAAAAGAGAAAGTTTTGAGTAACAGACAGAAAAAAAGAAAAAAGCTTTTTTTTCATGACCAAATTAGTAAAAAAAAGATCGTGTCTTACTGGCTTTAATCAAGGAAATCTGTATCATGTAAGTACCGGAATAAATGATTGTACACTTTATCTATTTTTTTATAAATATTTTATCGTTTTTATCATATATGTTAGTATAAAATCATTTTTTCATCTCTGCATGACAATGGATTCAACTATTGTGGGTGATCGCATTTTTCCCAGTAAAATATAGATGTAACCTGTTTATGATGTTGAATTCGAATAAACGTAAATATCAGTCAGAAAAGTTAGAGTAGAAAACGAATAAGCAAATGTATGAGACAATTTGAATGTATGGATAATGATTCATGTACGCTTTTATCATAATATTTTCATAATAATATTAAATGTTACGTGTGGTTTTGATCCGCTTTCACATCTACAAATTGTCCATTATTAGCCTTTATCATTATTGTAATATTTTTATCGAAATTATTTAAAGGTATCGCGTATAAGTTGTTTTATATAATTTTAATTTACGCTAATATCTGTCTCATATTCTGGTATAACTGCTGTTCGATCGACGAATCCATTGTCGGTCAGAAGTGAAAAAGATAATTTTGTGTTAACACACGTGATAAAAACGATAATGTTAGCGATGATAAACGATTTGGAATACAAGCTAATTATAGACAAATAATTATCGAGTAATATTTTATGAATGAAAATACTTGTCAAGTGCTTGTCAAGTATAGACGGAAATTCACAAGTAAACAAGTTTACTGCTCGCAAAGTATCCATTTACTAGGATAAAGATATACTCTATTTTCATCTACGCTATATTCTGAAATTTAATAAAAGTTTAAAAAGTTAATAAAAAATAGTTGGATTTTTGAAAATGATTTTCTAGAAATTTTTGAAAGTTATAGAACACTTTTGTACTGATCTTTAGTACAGATGTCATTATACACTCTAAAAAAAAAATGCAACTTCTAGGAAGACGTCAAAATCAGTTCCCATTTAGTTACATAATTGGGTCTATTTCGAAAACACATTATACGACTATTTGTAGTATCATCCGTCGCATGGAAGATACTGAAGTCGGTTCCGATTTAGACGCATTAAAGCGGCGCCTTTGAAGTCGCTTTGATGTGTCTTCTGGAAAAGACTCATTAAACAAATTTTTTGTTTCTGTCGAGAGTTGAACTTGATCTGTTCACTTATCACAGGAACATGTTCACTATCGAATCACCAAGGCCCATTAATTATTAGTCTTACTCGTGTCTTACATTGACGTTTCGGTGGGACTTTGGTTAAAACCTTAAAACAGAAACACACAGAAGTTGCGAGGGCAAAGAAAGATTGCAATTTTTTTTTAAAAATTTGTTTGTCACACACGCTGAAGTTGATAGTCTTTCCTACTTCCGCTAAAAGTTCATAAGGTTTCTCATCCATAACGTCTGTCCGCTTCTTCTAGAAAGTCAAGAGTTTCGCTTAAACACACCACACACACACTACATTTCCTCAAGTCTTCTCAGCCTTTACCTAGTATATCAGGTTAAATCAGAAATAGAGTTAGAAATCGCTTCCTACATCTACAATGAAAATTGAATCCAGATTCGCGTCTTCCAGAAAACATTTCTCAAGCGGTACTAATAGGTGAGTCGATATTTTGAAGACATCCACGAAGATGTGACTACTAAGCGTCTTGTTTCTTGTTCAAACGTCTTCCATGCGACTACAGTGTGACTTCCATGTGTCTACCATCAGACACACCGAAGACTTACAGAAGATATGTATTGTTTGGAAGATGTAATCTAGTCACATAAGAGACACAATTGTGTCTGTGACACTTCACTTTTAAGATTGAAGTTGGATTTTCTTTTTAGAGTGTAGATAAAGTGTACAGATGACAACTTTCAGAATACTGTTCTTATTTCTAAGATTCTCGCAAAACTCAGTCTTCTCAAGGAATTTTCAGAAAAGATATCCTGTGGCAATTATGTGCTCTGGTCTTGGTTATCGAATAGCGAAAAGCAGACAGAGGTACCCGGAGCAATTAGAACGCGGTCAAAACCTTTTGCGACATTTTTCTCGTCACTTTGAAAGCTTAGAAGTTTTCACAAAACTTCCAGTGCAAAAGTTATAGACGATGGTAGTAGGCACCTAAAAAAATCAATCGAAAATCTCACCAGCAAAAGGATTGGGAACAGTTTTAGCGTGGGAGGGTCCGAAACGTTCTTATTTCCCATAAGTGGGAAAGTAGAACGTTTGCCGTGTCTGTATGGGATAAATGGAACGCATCTACCAAAAGTAATGGGATTTTCTTCAAAATATAATATCTGTTTTATATTTCTATTTCACATTATAGATACAGAGTTCCTTAGAAAAAGATTTAGAGAATTGTTTTCTTCGTAATGAAGAGTTTCTTTGCTTAATGGCGGAAAGTTTCAAGTTTTATTTGATGTGTTTGGACATTTTTGTTAATACTTGAAAGAATTGTTTAGATTTATTATAATGGGACTCGGGTTTTTTAGAATCTTTTCTTAATAAATTATCTACTGAGAAACCTTTTTCAATGGGACTTAAATGATTTTTAATATTAAAATAAAGCAGATGATGTCACATAACAAAATAATTATTTACTTTTGTTATTGTGTCAAGCTTATTAAATGTGATATTAATAATTAATTTGATTTTTGTATTAACAGAAGATAGCATTGATGATTTCTAAAACTTGAGAGATGTGTTGTACTATAGAACTCAAAAACACACATCTCTCGAGTTTTAGAAATCATCAATGCTATCTTCTGTTAATACAAAAATCAAATTAATTATTGATATCACATTTAATAAGCTTGACACAATAACAAAAGTAAATAATTATTTTGTTATGTGACATCATCTGCTTTATTTTAATATTAAAAATCATTTAAGTCCCATTGAAAAAGGTTTTTCAGTAGATAATTTATTAAGAAAAGATTCTACAAAACCCGAGTCCCATTATAATAAATCTAAACAATTCTTTCAAGTATTAACAAAAATGTCCAAACACATCAAACAAAACTTGAAAACTTTCCGTCATTAAGCAAAAAAATAACCTTGAAGTTTAGTTAAGGAATGACGGAGTTATTAAAGTTTGTTTTTCATTTGGACTTTTGTGACACCCGGTATTAATTAAATCTAACAGTTGTAGTAACCAAGCTCATAATATGAGTGCCAATCTTGTTCCATATTTTACATCAAATAGTCCCACATATGATACATAATCTGAAAACATTTTGGTGATTGTTTCTATTACGAACAGTCGTTTTGATAGGTTTCCACTTCGAAACAGAAAGTATGCTGCCATAGTCTATAAATTAAAAATCATGCAAAATTGTATTAATGACCATATTAAGAACAATGACAGGCATAGAAAATATTGTTATAGAATGAGATTCTTGACCACACTGATCTTCCTTCTTCTAATGGTATCAGCGATCCT